TGTGCCTGCGGCGCGCCGCCCGCCGCGCCCGCCCCGCCTTCACCTCCTCCCCCTCCGTAGTGTTACCACCCTAATACCAGTCACCTTTCTATTACTACTAGCTGTTGCTCGCGACTTCATCCGCATCAAATTATGAAAATTTTATTAACATATTGATAGCAAATGTCAAAATGACATGACATTACAAACCTTGGCAATCTTGCTTCCTTGGTGTTGGCAGCAACTTATGATCTCTTTCCCACATTAAGGTTTTTTACAAAAATATTTACCTCCTAAATTTATGGCGTGAAAATATATATTTATTATAATAAAGCGTAAACACACTTCTTTGTTGCCTAAGATATCAGCAATTACAGCATATTTTTGAATAATTCCATTTTTAATAAAAAGCCCTACACTTACGTCATGCTTTAGGCTATATATTTTTTTTAACGCGATTAAACTTAGGGGGTAAATATTTTGGATAAAAACCTTAATGTGGGAAAGAGACCATAAGTTGCTGCCAACATCAAGGAAGCAAGATTGCCAAGGTTTGTAATGTCATGCCCTTTTTCCTATTGATGATTTGACAAATTTAAACAATAAAATATTAATATTTTTTTGCGGACGAAGCCGCACGGGAACAGCTAGTTTACAATATAAGTAAGATCTACCTCTCCCTCGCTGTGGCTCTTGTTGGAGCGCGTGCGGCGCCGCGGCCGGCGCGGCCTGCCCTGCGCGCGCTCCTCCACGTCCGTGTCCACCTCCTTCAGCGAGCAGGCGCGCCCCGCACTGCACACAAAACAAACTGTACGAAATTCGACAATAAAAGAAATAAAACAGGGGTAATATGCCTTTTAAGGACAAGGAATCAACTCCATTGTCAATATCTTTAATACTTTAGAAAAGAAACAAACTTAACTTTAAAATGGAATATTTAAATCTGTCTTTAAAAAATCTAAGATTTACAGGGTGCAGAATTACCTCATATATACATATAGTTTTATAGAACTTTTGGAATATTCACGATGATTTCAAATTTAAAAAAACAATGTAAACAACTTGACAGTGCTGCTCAAATTTAAGTGGACATTTGTAATTGAAATAAAAAACATTACATCAAGGGCCTGTCCCACCAAATTGTAAATTGTCTGATAACAATCCAAAGTGTAAAATATGTGATGGAGAAATCGGATTTTGTTACCTAATCCGACAATGGCGTCATTTTAAAGCTATCTGAGCCTCTATCAGCCAGTGATGGGACAGGCCCTTATACTTATAAAAACTACATATTTTACAAGGTACAAAGAAGTAGATTGCTAATATATCATGAGGTACTACTGAGACGCATTTACAACGTACTAATCTATTATGAACATAATACAATAGTCATCATCATCATCATCAGAGTAGGCGTATTTTAATTGTATTACAAATCATCATCATCATCATCACCAGCTCACTATACGTCCCCGCCGAGGGGCTCGGAGCCTACCCTATTACGGGGTGACTAGGCCATAGTCAACCACGCTGGCCAAGTGCGGGTTGGTTGACTTCACACATATCTTTGAATCTCTTCGCCGATATGTGCAGGTTGCATCACGATGTTTTCCTTCACCGTAAGAACGTCGGGTAAATTATGTATATATGAAAAATCGAAAAATCGAAAATCACATTGGTACATGGCGGGATTCGAACCTAAGACCTGTAGATTACAAGTCAAGTGTTGAAACCACTGAGCCACCGACGCTCCTTATTACAAATCATTTAAATAAAAAAAAAGTATGACGTGAGTAAGCCGTTAAATAATTAATTAAAAAAACATTTTCCAACGTTAGTGGGGAATAAGTACTCACAGCATCTCAATATCTCTGAGTTGTCCCAGTATGGGCATGATCTGCAGCCGCCTGTTGGACACCAGCTGCCACAGGATGCCCGCCGGCCGCTGGCTCATGCGCTGCGTCTCTATCACCTACCACGTTTCAACTATACAAGGCGTGCCCGGACACACAACTAGTATGTCACGCGATATACATCACGTAATACCAAGTTGGATCAATGAGTGATAACCTTTATATCTTTATATCGATGGGTCAAAGACTATTTGTTGACCGACTTCCCAAAAGAAGGAGGTACTCAATTCGTCTGTATGTTTTTTTTTAAGCGCCATTAGGTTTAATATTCAGGGGGGCTATTTAAAGATTTCATTAAAAAAAAACAAAAGTAGACCCTGAAAATAATTTCAATTGAAACATTTTCTGACCGGTTCTAAATTAAATTACTAAAATTCTGCATATTTATTTCATATTTAAAATTCGCTGATTTTGAATATCATATTATAGACTTATATATAGCCTTTCACCCATCGATATATGAAAATATTAGTAGATTTTGTGTAAATTTACTAATACTTCCTTCAACCACTCGAACTAAGCTCTAGGCTTAGGTTGTTATGATATGGTTCACGACGATAGTCGAATGGCGGGATTCGAACCCTCGACCGCAAGATCGGTTGTCAGTACCCAAACCATTTACACTACTAGCCTACCATTATTACAATACTAGCTTTCGCCCGCGATTTCGTCTGCGTGGAATTAAAACGAAAGTGAGTAGTCTTTGTTCATCTAGACTATCCGCTACATATAAGCCAAATCGAGATCCGTTGAACATTTTAGGCTTCAAATAATAACAAACATCCATCCATCTAACTTGTATTTATAAAAGTAAGATTTAGTTTGACGTGTTATTTTTTCTTTCTCATCGTTTTTTGGGGGTCAAAGTACATTGTTAAATAGTTTAAAACCTTCCTTACTAATTGAGCTACAAAATACAGCAAAAACACTTGAAATTAATCACTTAGTTTTAGAGATTACCGATTACAAACTTTTAGAATTTTATTAAACAAAATGTTTAGGTTACCTGTGTTGGCGTGACAATAAGATCGATGGGCACATCGTGGGGGCCGAACAACTGCGCTGGCAGTGTGTCGAATACCTATAAGAAAAAACTTTTATTTCACTGGTTTAAAAAATCAATTTCACACAAACATTATGAGTATTCATGTATAAACATTATGAATATTCCTGCGAGAAAATATGTAAATAAAAAGAAATATCACCTGACAATCGTGTACAGTTGTGGCCACCAAGGTATTTGGCTTGATGGCTTTCATGTGCATCATCAGCCCAAACTCCAAGTCACCGTAACCTGGTTGTACATAAAAAAAAGTTAAAAAAATCCTTATAACGCCTACGATACTAAATTTTAAATCTAAAAAAAGATTATAAAGTTGTTAACACTATTAATACTATAGTTTTACGTATTTACTTAGTTCTTAATAATCTCACTAATATTATAAATGCGAAACTTTTGGTATATGGATGGATGGATGTTTGTTAGAGTTTGTAGCCTAAACTACTGAACGGATCTCGATGAAATTTGGCATAGATAGAGGATAGTTTAGAACACATATTAACAGAGTCGCGGGCGTAAACTAGTTATTTTTTAACAGACAGTTAAGTAATAATAAGTTGGTTACCTCTTCCTTTACCAATACGGTAACCCTCCTTGGAGACAGCCACAGATCCCATTACCACCAAGTCCAATGTCACCGTGTCTTCAATACCTAAACCGAAACACGAATCTTGACAAAAACATTCACATCTTACTCATTCTCTTTAAAGAAAAAGAGATAATATATTAAACGTTAAATTTTCAATTTTCTAACTGTTTATGATACAATTTGTACTTTAAACTCTGCCGGTTTAACAGTTGTTGACATAAAAGTATTTATGTGTATTATGAAGTCCAAAGCAATTTGATACTTTTCCAAGATTACTAATGATTCAAAGCTAACACAATTCTTGCACAAATATTAACGTCAAGAGCGAACAGTTTTGATACTTTTGCATGCTTAAATATCACTCTGAAAAATCTTTACACCTTGCAAGTCTTAAAGGCCTGTCCCAATAAATTGTATTTGACAATTCAAAGCGTAAAACATGTGATGGAAATATCGGACTTTGTTTCCTTATCTGACAGTAACATTTTCAAGCTATCTGAGCCACTATCAGCCAGTGGTGGGACAGGCCTTAAGTGAAATAAATAGATGATAGAATGGAGAAATATCCTCTGTTTTTTCGTCTCGAGAATGTTAATGGGCAGCAGTCGTTTTGCCGGTGGGTGATTCTCGTGCAATCATCTTACCTATGGGCTGTCCGAATACTTCCATGCCGTTGCGTGAGACGGCCTTGCGGTATGTCGCAGGGCCAGGTTCACCTTCCGGCAGTACAATCCTGTTAAGGAAGCCAGTCTGCAGCCGTGGCACGGGCACGTATAGAGTCTTCTGCTGCTCTAGGCATATTACCCTGAGGACAAAGTGAAATGTGTGGTAACTGTCATCTGATGTCTTATTCTACTTAAATCCCGATTTTTTTTTATTGGCTCAAAAATATCAAGTCTCCTCATATTTAACAGCGTTTGAATTTGTCTGTTCTTCCCATTATCGAAAAAAGTTTGAAATAAAAATAATTTAAAAAACTCATTTTCTGTACGTAGACTATAAATCTATAAAGAGAAAAAAATGTATTTTTGGATGTATTGAAATAACACAAAAACTAATAGGTCTATTTTAATTCTCTCGGCGTTAGAAATGTAATTTATCTGAGAATAACGTAGGCTATATTTTACTATTTTTAAATTCACGCGGGCGCAGTCGCGAGCAACAAGCTATCTTAAACAAATACAAGTATCAAACATAGTTGCGTCTATACGACTAGCTACTTATCAAATCAGTGGGCAGAACGAAGTGTCCAAATTAGGGGTGCGGCCTTTACTTTGCTACCTTGTGAGGAAAATACAACGCTATTTACGGCTACTGAAGGTTTTCTTTCGATTGTTTGAATTCATTTGACACAATCCTCAGGGACTAGACAGTGCCAACTAAAATAAACCTATACTATTAGAGCTAAAGAGATAATATGTATGTATAGAACGGACAAACTTTAATTCCAAAATAAAAATATAAATCTTTGTTTTTATATGAAAACTGATATTTTAAAAATAAAATTACTAAAACAGGAAAACAAAACATACAGAACACACAACAGGTTTTTATATTTGAATTTTCATTTTTTATTTACTTAACTTTACTCTTAATAACAAATTTACAATACTGTCGCAATCAATTATCTACAGAATTAATAAAATTGAAATTACTGTAAATATCGAAAAAAAAATCTCATTTCGTGACTATTGTATTTACGATGCTTACTAAATAAATGCTTTATATCTGCCTGTCCGTAAATATTTGTAATCATAAAAACGACTAGACTCTAGACCAATTTTAATGGGACTTTCACTGGAAGGTAGAAAAACTTTGGCTACCTTTTTACTAGGTTTACAACAGTAGAATAGCGGGAATTGAACCCTGGATGTAATTGACAATCCATACTTTTAACCATTACACTATTAGCGCTTCAAGTTCCGGTACAATTAATTTAAAATATTCTATAGAATTAATTAAATCGCGTGCACTTACGTGACTTGGAGGTTATCTATAGATAAGCAATCGCACAAGAGTTACATAGTTGTTTTATTTATGCAATAAATACTAAACCAGAGTAACATGAAAACTGTCCTATTACATCACAAATACGATTATGATTAAATTAATTCAGGGGTGCTAAACCAATGGCACAATATTTAGGGCACTTGATTGATCATAAAATCCATTACGCATTAAGAAAAAAAATATTATACATTTACTAATTTTATAAGGAAAAACGCGATATTTTTACGCTACGGAATGTACCTAATTATTAGAAAATAAATCTTACGTCTACAACCGCATTAAACATATAAAAATAGCACGTCGATACGTAAAGGTTCGCCACCCCTGGCCTGGTTATTCGTTTCGATTACATGTCTTTTAACAAGTTTCGTAGTATAGCAATGACACATAGAAATCAGTGAATGTTTTGTATCGGTTGGATTAAGCTAAAGAAAAAACAATATGCTTCAGCTAACACGCCTAGATATTCCACGGTACGGTATTGTATGCTTTTTAGCAACGCTTAGCAACAATGTTCATAAGTTTGCTAAAGGAATTTGCAGAAATCAGTAATTTGAAATGCACAAAATAATACCTACTGGCTGTTGCTAGCGACTTCGTCCGCGTGGTATTAAAAAATAGTAAAATATATATTACATGCTACACAGTCGTAACATAGCTTTTTAATGGTGAAAGAGCTTTTGAAATCGTCCGAAGTAGTATTTGAGTTATATACATACAAAAATGCAATCTTTCCTCTTTATATTAGTATAGATATGCAACTTAAATTTTTCCAATTCACATAAAAAATAAAGCAGTTTTTAAATTTCTTAGCGGAGAGGTATTACGAAGTACGCCGATGAACTTGGGACGCCAAATTATTTGAAAACAACTATACTAACACACTTATCCTAGCTTTGCTTTGATAACAGATGCATTAAATATAGCCTGGATTAATTATCAAAAACACTTTTATATTAATTTAAGGAATTGCTATTTGTAATACAGTCTGTTTTAAATATCGTTGATTTCTTAAAAATACCGACAACGAGGAAATTATTTGGTCATTTTTAGCAGAATTATATGCATCTGCTATTATAGACCAATTAACAGGAGTGCAGTGAACATAGCGTGCTTCACTGACCCGCGTTGTGAAACTACCGTCCAATTTCTTAACCAATGCACTTCCTTAAAAAATGTTAACGGCTGCGACGCCATAACCCACGTTAAAATGCATAATTATAACTTAAATTCTAACTTATGTGATAAACAAACGTAAAAAGTACAAAATAATAACTCCCAAGCCCTAAATTGGTACCTAAGAGTAACGCTTAATGCAGTTTCCCTTAAATCAATCTTCAAAAGGTACTCTTTTAGTGACCACTTAATACAAATTCGACAGTTACCTGACAGGCTCTTGTGGTTTATCCGGGTTCACTTTTACAGTGTTGGCATTCTTGAAAACGTCCAGTTCTGCCAACCTTGCGGCTGCTTCCGGAGCTCCCTTGAAGTTGGGGATCCGATTGTAAACGGGGCGGGGGAACATCGCTAGCGCATTGTTCTCCAAGTGACGCCATACTTTGATCCGAAAGGATTGTTTCGTCACTTCCTCGGGAACCACTGCCGGGGCTGGAAAGAAGATATGACATATTATTGCATAAAATAAATACACATAGCGTAGTATACATCTAAACCCAATAATCGATTCAAAGATATCGATTTTGTATGAGATGTTCAAAAATCGATCTCTTTCTTAACGATAATTAGATTTTTTCATTAATATTGCAATTCTTAAATTAAATAAACTTGAAGTTTGACGAAAAAAAATCACAAATCGTGTAATAGCCTTAAGTTCCAATACAGACAAAGTCATCAGATGAAGTCATTACGATAATCTATTCATCAACCACAATAAACCACACCTCTAAAGGTGAGTTTACAATGCAAATAATATTCAGCGCATACGCATTTTAAAGATAACCGGTTATCAGTGAAAACGCACCTTAAAGCCGTGACATTATAACACTGCAGTTCAAAACATCGATAAGAACAAATATGTAGTGGCCGTATGTTAGATATCTACAACACTATGTAGGTGGATTAAGAAATATTCGTAACGTCCTTAGGAAGTAATTCTTACAAACATTCCTATATCGCTAATTGCAACTTTATTTTCTATTTCATATGAACGGTAGTTGCTTGAAAAATTATCGAAGTTAAAGTGTGAGGTACTTAACGTGTTACATACGATTTATTACGCGTAACAATTGCATTTATCGCATACCATTCACTGCATACAAAATTGTAATTAAATCGTGTTTTATTTTCAACTTTCACACTAAGGTAGGTTAATAATAATTTTCCAAAATCAACCAGCTTGAAAATGTCATTATATGTGAATAACTTTCATGTTACTAAGTATAGAAGAATCTAGTTAACTCTTCTAATTCTATAAAAAGGAAAGATTAGTATTTTTATATGTATTGAAATAACTCAAAAACTACTGGGTCAATTTGAAAAATTCTTTCACCATTTAAAAAGCTACGATATCAGTGAATTACATAGTCTTTGTTTTTTTTACTGTTTTATAAATTCACGCGTATCAAATCTCGAGAGATAACATCAAAAAGAAAAAAAAAGGATCAATTTTTCCCACCATCAAATACAATTTACTGAAGTACTACAATAACCAAGCAATAACGACGATAAAATACTATTTGAGAAAAGTTAAAAATACTTTATAAAGAGGCATTGTCTCAATAAAAGGAAAATAAAAAAAAACATGAAGCATTAGTATCAAGGCCACGCACAATAATTCAACACTTGTGCATATATGCACAGGTGATTACATGTTAGCACAGAACTACAATAAAACGAGACAAAACACATGACACCTGTATGAGAACATATAACTTTCCCTTTTATTTTTAACAAGAGTAAGAGAGATGGCATTATAATACCACAGAGACGAGAGAGACTCAACCAACAATGTATTAGAACATTTGCATTGTAATTTATTAATAGTAATACAGAAAACGATTCCCTCTACATGGAACTAGTAACAACTTACAAAAAAAAATAGTAGCCATGTTCTTTGAGACTATTTACTACATCTATGTCAAATTTCATTGTAATCCATTTAGCAGTTTATGCTACAAACTAATAACCATCCATACATCTAAACTTTCGTTTATATAATAGAGAAAATGAGACATTTTTAAAACTATTAATAATTCAGTATCTTACAAAGTTGACCCTAAAAAAACTGATCAAGGGTAATTCAGAGCATGTTTCATCAAAATAGCTTGTTTTGTATTTAGTCAAATTGAATACTGTCAGATTCTACAATACCACTGCAACACAATTATCAGCAATGCAAGACTGGGGTAAAGTATGCAATTATTAATTTCTATTTTCAAGCAACAAGATAAAATATCTTATTTAAATGTTTACTACTGATAACATAATAATCTATCAATAACTGTAAATGTGAACCATGTTATACCGTACCATATAATACCCGAGGTGGTCAATTATAATTACACTAGCTGTTCCCATGCGGCTTCATCCGCATAAAATTATGGAAATTATTAATATATCTATATAATTTATTGTCTACATTTGGCAAATTATCCGAATGATGACAAACTATGATAACTTTGCTTCTTTGATGTTTGCTTGTAGTTTAAGGTCCCTCCCCACATGAAGATTCCACATTTCCAATTACCCTATAAGTTTAATAGTGTGAAAATAAATAGCCTAAAGTTCACTAAGTGTAGGGTTGTTTATTAAAGAAAGAATTATTCAAAAACACACTGACTTCTGACATCCTACGCCACGAGATAATGTGTGTTTACACTTTATTATATTAGTATAGACATGTATTTCAAACTGATTAAATAACATACATGAATGTGAAATATATAACAAAATTAAATTCAATCTTCAGTACACATATTTACAGTATACTTGTGAGAAATCACTAATTTTGATAAATGGCTTGAACCATCAATGAGTTTATCCACCCCGGTTATATACATATTAAGTAAGAAACTTTAAAAAACACTTTAGTAAAGCAAACACATTAATAAAATTGTATCTCAAAGTTTAGGGTAGATTTATATAAACATTACATTTTCATAATATACAATTCATACAGTATAAACTATTTTAATATTCAGACATAATCTGTAATCTGTAGTGTGTCTGACTACCTTTCTCACAAGTTATGTGAATAAAAAATAAAATAGGATGTTATTTATGACTGCGGAGGTGTACACCGGTAGAGGTAGACCTAGAAAGATGAAGATGGATTGCATTGAAGGTGACATGATCAAGAAGGGGAGGAATGAGATAATGGAAGATAGTTATTTGGAGGAGGAAAACTCCAGGGGCGGCCCTACGGGAGTGGGATAAGGTAGAAGAGATAAAATAATTAAACTCGGGAAAAATAAACATACCCCATATTTTACTTTTTCTATGATAAACCTCCACAAAGCGGCTCTTTTTTAATGTATAACTTTACTGTACTCATCACCATAAAGCATCCATACTAATCTGATCTCCATATTTAAAAAAATAAATATTTTTAACATCATATAGGCATGATACTATTACTGTCTAACTTATCATCATCATTATAAATTTTATTAATTGTTCGAATGTAGAAAAGAGAACGGCACCGATGTAATTCAGCCTAATAAATCAATTGCATTTTTATAATAGTGGGTAGAACGAATGTGAGTCATGTTTCACACTCCAATTAAGATGCCCACATTATCAATAATTATAAGCGAAGAAACCACCCAAATACTACTGAACCGACGCACGAAACACTTAACGCAAGTGAAATTATCGCCAGGCTATACTATATTCTAAATACATTTATTTGTGTACGACTTGCGAAATATTCCCTATTCGAAATGTTTTCTAAACGAGGGTACATGAAAAAAAAGTTGTCTAAATGCTTCTAGAATGTTTATATAAGCAATAAAACCAATTATAAAGCCCCTTAAAAATAACATTTTCACCTAAATACAAAGGAAAACTGTATACAAGACATTGAAATATTGACAACAAATAAGAAACTTACTGTTTTCGGCCGGTGCCGCTATTTCTTCTCCGTTCTGCATCTTAATGTTTTCGCAATCGGGAGGATGTTTTTTATATCCGGCGATATTTAAAGGAAAATCATCAAAGTTAAATGGAAAATCTAATCCTTTTGCCGGATAGAACCGTCACACACAAAAATAGAACGCGAATAAAAAACAATTGCAACCAACTTCGCGGCTTCAGTCAAATTGCAGGAGTACCAACATAACTCGGTAAAAAGATGCGTTTCATTTAAGTGTTATTTCAAAATGTTTCTTTTTTAATTTTTGCTTGAAAGAAAACATTTTAAATATTTGAGCTTGATTTTTTATAAACTTGTAAATCAGCGCTGAACCAATACAACTTGCACATTCTCGAGCTGCTAATAGCTCAACGCGATGTAGAAAACATACATGCGTGTCGACATATTATGGTGAGATCCAAATACAAATTGTATGGAGTTAATGCTACCAACCTAAGGAAATGGAAACTGTATGAGAATGTCATTATTTTAAAAAGCAACCGGTAGATATTTTATATAATCTATGATTTTGCATGTATTTTGAATGAGGTGTTTCACTTAAAACATAGTCTTATTTAAATAATAAAAAACAAGGCAAATAAATTTTATTCAAATAAATATAAAATACAATAGTTGTATAACCAATTCTTATGTTCTTAAATACATATCAACGTATAGTTTGCGACATATGTAAAGGCGTCAACATTAACTCGAAGGCAGCATCTTTTAGATTTGCCCCGCGGAGATTTGCTTCATGAAGATCACTGCCTGATAAATCACAGCACTGGAAAAATATTAGGAAGAAGTTACTACAAATACAAATAATAAGTGACTTAAAAAATTGATAAAACAATGCAAATAATTTCAGCCCACCTTAATGTTATTTCGTAAACTTTTTCTTTAAAAGCGATGGTGCAATTTTAAGTTACGCAAAAACGTGAAATTGACCAACTTTTAGGTTAGATCCGTATGTCGAAAACGTGTCCATGTATCAGACCCGTGATTTACTGCGTTTTTATTAAATTTTTAATATGTTCCCCCCCCCCCTCTTAAAAAGTTTAAAATTAAAATCTTTGGATTAAAAGAAACCAGAAAAACAACTTTTGTATATATGCACATTGACTTTTTAACCCTTAACTTGGCAGAATTTTATTTTTTCGAATATCAAATTGATATTCATAGCACTTAACCTTGATGACCCAAGGTGTTTAGAAAAAAAAAATGATGTATCTCTACAGATACACTAACAAAAAAGGGGTTAATTTAGATGTTTATAAAAATTCAAAATAAAATACCTCTAAATCAGCACCCGCTAACACAGCGGTCCTTAGATCACAGTTCTGAAGGTTGGCATTTTTCAATGTTGCCACTCTTAAGTTAACACCCGCCATGTTGCTACCTTCTAAGTTTGCACCTGACAAAAAAATTGATATCACATAGAATATAAAGAAAACGAATTACTGAAACTCAAAAAGCGTATATACAGAGGTTATGACAGCAAAAGATACTTTACATCAAAAATGTATTGACAATTAATATTTTACTTTAACAGAAATAAAAAGAAAGTTTTACACATTAGGATATTACATTACTTTTTTATTATTTAATATAAGATGTGTTAATTTACCTTTTAGGTTAACTCCTTCCAACACAGCCCTCGACCCCGCTGGGTCTTCCATATTACAGCCTCTTAAGTTTGCGCCTAAAATTTAAGTTAAACTAAATGAATAAAGATATGAGAAAATAATAATAAAGGGACAAATGGAGGAGGTCAATACCCTGCAGGGGTCATGACCATTTTGTACTTTGTATTTAAATTATTGTAATTTCCCATATGTATGTCATGAAAATAAAGGCTTATAAATAAAAAGAGAAAATGAATAAAAGAAAATGGTAAGGAAAAGAGGATGCCTAGGGGGAGTATTCTGGTTCTGTGTGACTCTTCGTTTACATAAAAGTATAAAATACATTTACAGTTGTATATGTCTATAGGCAACAGTCATTGCGCCATTTTGAGGTAGCTTATTTAAGACATATGATATAAAAAATATACATACTAAGAATTAATTAATTTGTATACCTTCCATATTAGCGCATAATGCCTTCACACCCAAAAGTTGAGTTCCCTCTAGATTGGCATGAGACAGATCAGCGCGCTCCAAACAACAGTGGGATAAGTTCGCTCCACTTAAGTTACAACCGGACAGACAGGCATACTGGAAGTTTTATATACATTTAGAACACTCTTTTAAGTCATACTTTAGCACTTGAAGCCACTAAAAGGACTTCTTACAAATAATTGTTACTTCTTACTAATATTATGAATGCGAAAGACGGATGGATGGATGTTTGTTAGAGTTTGTACCCTAAACAGCTGAATGGATTTTGATGATATTTGGCATAGACATAGAGGGTACTCTGGAAGATCACATAAACTACTTGCTTTTGTATTTTAATTCCACGCGAGTCGCAGGCGAAAGCTAGTTGAATGTAATGCAAACTTAAAATCAATAAAATTTTTAACAAAAAACTAAAAGACTTTGGAACAAAAATATTTGATTTATAATTTTGAATGGGACCAAATAACAGATGTTCCACATAAAAATCTTTAAACTTCTATTTCCAAAACTCATCCTTTATCATTGAGAATAAATTTTTTTAAATTAATTTTACAACAGAAGTAAACGAACCTTAAAATTGATATATCGTAAATCCAGCCTGCTTAGATCAGCACTTGCCAAGTTAACACCTTGATACCTTAACTCGGAAGTTGTAGGGGTCAATATTATGGAGCGTACAACATCCCTCCTTGTAAGAGAATGGTTATTAGAACTGGCTGATGTAGACTCTTCTATCAATTGATTTAAATGTGGTATCATTGAGTCAATACCTGGAAAATATATTATTGCAATATATTTAATTCAATTGTAAAAGAGGATCTTATTTATATAAAAGAAAGTTTAGATGGATGGATGTTAGAAAGTAGATCAAAAGTGGGTATAGAATTCAGCACAAATGTAGTACATTGTCAGGAATAACAAATAGGCTAATTGCTCTTGTTTTATCTACATGGATGGAGTCGCAAGCAATAGCTATTTCATACAAAATTTTAAATGTACAATTGAAGAATCTTCTTTTGTTTCACCTTAAAAGATGCAATTGTTTAAATATTTGGAGACAACAATTTTAAAAAACAGCCAATAGAATATGAACATGTCCGTATGATAAAAAATTAATCAGTACACTGCTAATTGATTTTCATTATTATCCTGTTCACATGATTTGTTACCTAATTGGTTATTTGTAAAAAGCAGAGTTTGTCTTGATACAAGGAAATGGCAATTTTTCTGTAATTGGAATACTGCAGATTTCTGTGACTGTACAGAAACTACAATTAGTTTGGTTGATTGTTCCACTACAAAAGAATGTTACTTATAAAAAATGTATCCAGTTATGAATATTAATGATATAAAAGACTTAATTGACTCCATATTCTACTTACTATACATATTAAATTCAAGTACCATAAAATACTGCTTCTTCCAGTACTCCTGTAGGATTAATATGTTTGTCTAGTATAACATCACCATGTCGTAAATAATTAAGTATAGGCTCGAAATAATCCGGACTTCTGTCTATTAAAAACGCGCCAGTAGAATCTTTGGCACTTGGATTCATCAAATATACACTATTTTCATCAGCGAACATACGAGCAAGCATAGATAAAGGCTCTTTAGCTAGTAGGGTTCCTCTAGACGTTGTAAAATGTCTGCCGCCAACATTGAGTGTTATCCAATCGGAGACCATGCGTTCATTGTCAGTCTCGCAGGATTCAGATGAGTTTGTATCCAAAGATAGATACAGTTTTTCATCATCTCTTATTACCCTTAGGTCTACTATCTCACAACCATTTGACGAGTATAATTTCATGTTTTCCTTCCCGACATCGAAATGCAAGGATATCTGTGATTTGAACGTTTCAATCGAATCTTCCACAGCCATAAGTTTTCCATTGCCTTCAGATTTATTGTTATACACATATACACGACGCATTACGATTTAAAATTGAATGGAATAAATATTTATATTTTTAATGAAACAGCCTGTTGACGGACTAAGAGACAATGGAATGACAATGACATTAGATTTGACAATTGACGTTCCACGTTTGACGTTTAGATTTTTTTTCAAAATGTTATAGTCTGGATAACTAATCTTTAAGCCTTTGACCTTTCAATAAAGAGATGCAAAGTGGAATAGTTTAAATTACTGCAGTATTAATTAATGGTACATTGTTTAGAAAACAAATATTTATATGCCTTAGTATATTTCGTAATAATATATTCAAGAAAGGAACGATTAACTTATTTAGACTTTTACTATAGAGCAACGGACTAGACAAAGATTTGCCGCGTTGTTGTCGCTTTCGCGCCGCTAAATTAAACATTATCTATCACTTTGAATGAGTGATGAGGTATAGATGATAATCGCACATATCATAACATCTTGCTGACATATAAAATGCAAAGTTCCTACCAAATGTGTATATGTCCCCAGTGTGACAATGTTTAGTCAACAAATTCATTAAACGTACAAATCAGATATTTTTAAAACAAAGTTGACTTTGTATAAATATTAAATTAATTACCACAACAAAAGCTGTTGACCTTTTCATTAGTATAACTGTCACGGAGTGCTGTTGAAGTAATTCTGTCTCAAAATAAATTTGAGACGTTGTAATGACGAATAAAATCAGACAAAATCTAATGAACAGTGCGAAGATAATAAGAAATTCTAGAACCTTAATTATTTATGATCGGATAATGGGACTTTCCGACTTTGAACATAATAACTGAAGATTAAATTCACAAATAAATTGGAAAGCGACATCATCTCTTATATAATTAAGACTGTAATTGCTTTTATTTTACTTGTAAATAACATAACCACACATATTTTATTTTAGAAAATAGATAATTGGATCAATTTTTTTCGTCCAAAATAATTTCTTTAGGTTTCTCAAATTAAACATTTTAACATTTTTTAATTAAATAAATGAGAATGTTATGGTACATTCTGTGCTTTTATTAAAAGTGTTTTTGGTGGTAACCCTAAATACATTTGGTTATTGTTCGCTAGGGTCCAATTCTAATTAGTCGGACCGCAGTCGACGGCTTTTATTATATCACAAACGGCCTACGTTTATATGCGGGGTAACACTGGCAATTCGGAAAATGGTTTTTTATGACTATTTGCAGCTTTTACCAACAAGGTTTAAACCTCTACTGGAATGTTGTAGGGGTATAAGTTTATTTTTATATTGCCAATCATCCTATTGCTACCATATTTTAAACAACGGTAGTTATTAAAATTCTTTGGTAGTTTTACATTTTTTAGTACCGCACGGCGAACTCTCGGGTCTAAAGATGGTGCACAATACAATTTACAAATACGATTCCACTTTTACAAACTACTAGCTGTTCCTCGCGACTGTTTCCGCGTAGAAATAAAAAAAAATAAAAGCCTAGTCTATATCACTCGCTGAAAATGTAGCTTTTTAATGGTGTAAAAAAAATTTACATCGGCCAAGTAGTTTTTGAGTTATTTCAATACATACAAAAATCGAAAAATACGAATCTTTCCTCTTTATAATAGATTAATATTAGAAATCGTTAAACTGTCTAAGATATGTTAGAATAACAAGCGAATTCAAAATATCTTTTTATTCATAATCATACCTAAAATAAGAAGACCGGGCTTTTGATTTTTTTTGGTAATTACAATTGTAATTAATATTTACAACTTGACAGCACACGACGGCATCATATGGCGTTTTTAAAATGGCTGAATTTCAAGCTAACAAAATACAACCTCTCGTTTTAAAGTTTGGTTACATTGAGCGTAACAGACGATTAGCGTTAACTATCAACCATGCCGTTTTCGCGGAGTTTTTTGCCCCGCACAGCCGCGTTGTGGAACGGTCTGTCCTCGGCGGTATTTCCACTACGACTTAGGTTCCTCTGGTGTTGCGGATGTCCATGGGCGTCGATGACCACCTCGGTGTTCTGGCCGCTCGTTTGCCCCCTTATAATAAAAAAAACATAACCTAGTTATTGTTGCTCGAAGACAATAAACTAACATAATTTATAATCTGTGATATAAATATTTTACAATGTTCGGTACAGATCGTACAGGTTCGCCACATTTCGTTACGAACATTAGCTTAAATGTGGCACGTGTTATTGCGGGTAACCTGGCGCATTTTTGTTCTCCCGCAAAGGAGGGTAGATTTGAATACTTTTTCAGTACGGTTGGACGCGGGGCCTTTTGACAGGTGTGTGGGTGAAAGATTCGTGTGCAAGGAACCAAGTGAGTTGTTCGGTTCCTGAAGGTGTGAATTCAAATGTGTTTGGAAGTGGTTGCGAAAGACACAACAGGCGTGTCAATTTTGTTTACACACACAGTGTTGTTTACAGTGAAAAAATACTGTATACAAGGGTGCATATGCATGCTATATATGCTGGCGAATAGACTTGACTCGATTGATACTAACAGACATCAAGCACCTGCAGTAAGGCGGAAAGCGAGCAGGTAAGTACCACTTTATTCATCATTTCATTGTTTACATTATTATGTTCTTCGGTGCATGCGTAGTTTAAAGGTTGCACTGCTCGAACTGAAACCGTCATGTTCGGCACATTCGGTACCATGTCTATTGTAATAAAAGTCGTAAACAGTTCGATTACCTTGCATCATGTGACTGCAGATGGCCGTCGTAAAATTGTTACCCTCTGATCTAGCCGATAAATGTTTAATTTATATGTTATTGACATAGTTTCCGAGAATATTTCACTACATAATCTATATCTATCTTCTATCTATATAATAAAATTGGAGTGTCTGTTTGTAATTTCAAAATAAAAATTCCAGATTTTGGGAATATAATGTTTATGTGATGCTGATAACGAAAATCTTATTTTAATTTTTTTATCTGTCTGTCCGCAAGCCGCGTTGTTCCGGGTAATCTCCGAATCGGCTGGGCCAATGAGGGTAGCTGACATAGACGGGCATATTACAGGCTACTTTTTTATCTTAATATTGCATGCATGAAGTCGCGGGCAACAGCTTGTTTGAGTATAAAATTACGACTTATACGATGTTTTGTTAGTATTTTAAGAAATAAACTGTTATAACAAGAGAAATACACTTTGGTTACACTGTAAACCGATGGCGAAATCAATACATTGTGAGTTATTTTAAAATGCGATAAACTTGATAAAAATATTTGCGTATTTATATACTTGCTTCGAATGTAAAAAATGAATCAACATTTAAAAATAAACACTGAAATAAAAAAATTGTCACAAATGTACTTTTACGAGGAAATATCACTGTGTTTCATAACATTAGGAGCAATTCAATTTAATTTAACGTAAACATCAAAGAGAACAGAGTGATAATTTATTATTCAATTTGTGAATCATCTTGAAAATTATTTGGAACACATAATCCGTTGGATGACTCAAAAGTTTTATTGAAATACATTATTTGTCATAATTTTAAGAGCTTTTAAAAATAAAAAATTACATTTCATTTCTTGGAAAACTAAGGTTATGTTTGTTTACTGATCTGAGAGTACACTAGACATAGTTGCCAAGGGGGGCGTCCAGCAACCCGTCTCGATAATCGAAAGGTCATATTAACTATAGCTGCCACTTAGAGTCTAGGGCAGAGACCTACTTAGTACACCATCAACAGGCGACGCCAATGCACTGATTACTATGAACGATTTTTTCCTTCCATTAAAAACATCATGACTAGTAGACGGGACTATTTTTTTACGAGAAAAATGTTTCAGATTCAAATAGTAATAAAAATCATCTTACTAATATTACAAATGCGAAAATTTACATGGATGTTTGTTAGAGTTTGTAGCCTTAACGGCTGACCAGATCTTGATGAAATTCGGCATAAATGTTACATGATAGTGTACAAGAAAATATTGGTTACTTAGTTTTTTTTTTATTTTCACGTGGACGGAGTCGCTGGCGAAGGCTAGTGTGTATAAAATAAATTAAATAAATACGTACGTTTTAAACACAACGATGTCCCATTGATAGACGAGTCTATAATAGCTCGTCTAGCCGAATTTAACTCGTTGGCATTCTAGAGAATTTCTGGCGCTCACCGCTACTTTGACCCAAATTCCTAAACTGCAACTATACTTACAAATTAAAAAAAAAACTCTTTTCTCTAACGAGTTGGCACTGTTACGTTTCTGCTCAGTTAAAATAATAGTCAAATGGTAATGTTGTATGTAGAATTTTCAGCCGAGGTAAATGTGGTTGAAGCGGTCTGATGCGAATTTGTTTTTTGTGTTTTCCCTGGCTTCTAGTAGTTTGGCAATGTTGCCTTTACTCGTTTAATGCCAAATGCCTGGTGTTTATGAACAAATAATTTAGATAATTAAATATTTTGTTTTGTTTATGACCAAGTATTAAATAGGTGGCGACATAGAACTGCTTGGCATGGCTTCTGGCTTTGGCTGCCTGCAATGGTGTAGCTTGTTAGTTCTGTTAGCATTGTTTTAGTTAAAAAGTCTTATGTTTTTAAACACTGGGGGTAGTTCATTGCCATATACGAAAATATCGTGGTAGCATGGAACATGTTAAAGTTCAACAAAGCATATTTAATGCTTGCTATGCTAGTGTTGACTTAATTTAAATTACGAGAACATTCTTACATCAAACTAAAGCCTTCATGCGCAAGACATTAAGGAAAGTCTAATCTAGATTATTATATTAATTATCCAAAAAGCATAATAAAATTAAAAATAAACGAACACCATTATCGAGGGTCATCACGATAAGCAATCTAACATTTAGATAGTACTTGCTGTTGCTCGCGACTTTGCCTGCGTTCAATTAAAATATATAGCTTGTGTTAGTCACAGATAAATTACATTTCTAACGGTGAAAGAATTTTTAAAATCGTTCCAGTAGTTTTTGAGTTATTTCAATATATACAAAAATACAAATCTTTATAATATTAGTAAAGAAATTTAAACATTATAAACGTAAACATTTACATGAAGCGTAATCAGTTAATCTTATCACGTAG